GACCAACGCACTGCAAAGCATTTCAAACTATTGCTGGAAATCACATTATATACATTACGAATATATTCAGAAAAAAATTGCTTTTTTACGCACTTAGATTGTTAGATTTTATTTGTTGAAGTTTTAATTGTTTTTTTACTGTGTGTATATATATACATATATATAACAAAGTTAAATATACATACATACAGTATACGCGTATATATTCACGCAGTGTGTAGCCGTTCTCGTCGAAATGATAGAAAAAAAATACGACAAACTGCATGGTTTGAATAGGTTTAAAGAATTTTCTCACACGTAGTAGCTACCGTATAAGATGTTGTATCATAATGAGAGAAAACTCGACATTATCTTACAAACAGCAACTTGCAAATTACTAAATATATTAAACTACTACAATTATGTATATTAAAATCGATAAACTTTATTTTTTAATCATAACAAATAAGTAGTTTTTGTTGTCATAAAATATGACATTCACTATACCTATAAAAATTACATTTACTATACCAAAGTAACGAAAGTATTAAAGAGATTGATAAAACTTTTTTGTTTAAACAAAAAAAAACAATTGAAAAACACAGTTACACAATAAAACTTACACAATATGAATATGTAATATTTAACAAATGGTAAGTATCGAACAGTCTAACATGATGAGTGAAATAATAGATGTAATGTATATATTTTTCGTAGTACACGAAAGAAACAAACCTCGACATTTTTTTAAGATATGACAAAAGATAAAAGACATTAATTTGATATCAATTGCGAGTTTCTAACAAACAAATAATATATAGCGAGTTACTATATTCAATATAGATAACTAATCCATTAAAATATCCATTAAAATATAACTGTTATTGCTGCTGTAAATTTTACGAAACGAGTTGTCTAAGCGTGTCTGCGATCTTGCCTCGCCGAGTAATCATCCATAACTAAAGAGCAGTAACGTTCTGTGGAATAATAAATACATATCACGATATAAACGTCCTAAGAAAAGTCGTTCGAGGAAACGACTTTCCTTAGGTTGTATTATATATGCATACGTACGATTGTATTAATATTGGTTTGAAATATGTATTTTTCACAGTTTAATGCAGAAATATAATTTTATATGCAGATTGTTTTATTCATTGTTTTACCTATATGTCGTTTTTCTCTTTTACGCAGACGGTGATTTGCCAAATTTATGGCAAGAGTTGTGTTTCTGGGCAGAGCTTCTCGTCGGCAACAACGTTCTACGATTTTGTCGATTCTCGCATTAACCCTAGATTAAACAGAATATTGTTAAATGAATTCCGTGATTGATCAAGTCAATGCATTATTTTCCAATTTCACAAAAAATCTAATATGTTGATCATTACATTTTTTTTCGAACGGCATGTGTGACGCTTACTCTAGTGTCTTTGGGCTCACTGTTCACAACTTCCTGACGCAATAAAACTTGAACCTATTCACTCCAACGACTTCTCAAACGTCAAAGTGCAACGTGAGATTAGAATGTACGATATGTTATAGTACTTTTTAGTCAATGAATTTGACTTCTATATTATTAAAATGTATATGATGTGTAGAGAAATGATAGAAGCCATGTAAAATAGATCATCAGGATGACTGTATTTTCAACACGCGTGAGTATATTCAATTCTATAATAATTATGTGTTGTGAAACTCGATAAGTGAGTTTACGACACACGTGTCATTTTCGAACAACATGTTGCGTAAAACAAAAACGTTGCCAAACGTTTGCATGTCTGACAAATAAAACATATTTAGAGTAATATACTTATTTACGATTCATTAATGGATTAATGCAATCCCAACGATTAAAAGATATAGCTTTTTTAATAACGTTAACTTTTATCGTTTCAAATTAAGCGAGAAATACAGAGAGAAATTCGATAATGAAATAAAAAATAATGCTCTTTCTTCTTTTTCTTCGACGATGTGCTTTACTTAAGCGCAAGAAGAAAAAATACATTGCTCGCGTACATGACCTTTGATGCTAATTAATGTATTCTTTGCGGATATTCGACATTAATTAACAAATTTTTGAACGTTTCTCGAATAAAATTCCTTTAATTTTCTTTAATTTGTTTTACGTCTATTTATTGTTTAAGAATTATTATTACTATTATTACAAGAGAGAAAGAAAGATTATAGCATCAATATAAAAAAAATAAATTAGTACAAAAATATTACAACGTTAATAAACACTATATTGTGTTTTTGTATCAGTATAAATATCAATTGAATCTATGATAAAATTATGTTATAGATTTAAAAAACCGGCACAAGTATAATTTTTTTTCCAAAATAAGTTACTACACGCGCGTGTCTTCCTCAAGTAGAAAAAAAAGTGGCTAGTGTTCTTTCAATTTTTGCAATAATTCTCGCTTTCTGTCTGACGATAATGAAACCATCTTCGTCCAATTACGAATCCGAATCGTTCATCCGCGAATATAAACACGATGGGCAAAATTACACGAAGAGCGCAGAAGTTACATTTAGCAAATTTGACAAATCCTTGCTTGCTCACCGATCATTAAGCTGAGTTGACATAATAAGCGCAGCCGCGCGCTGGTTGCAGATCGAACAACGGAATGTTTTCATTTCCGCCGCATTTCCCGTTTATTTGTCCCCATATAATTTACGCAAATAGCATTCCCCATTTACTAATGCTGAATAGGTCAATATGCCGATGATAGCAATAAAACATTACGTTCATTAGTGAATGTGTTGTTTAATGAAATACTTCAACAGAACATTATAAAATAATGGCTCATATGCGTAAAATATTATTCAGCAGACATTGCCTTTACACGAAAAAAAAAGTTTTTGTTAAAATAGCAAGAAGATTTAGTTGCCAACGATGACGTTTTGTTGGTGAAACAAAAAATTAAACTACGTTGTCACGTTATTTTGATTCTGTCTCGTACTATGTGCGCGAGTTGTTTGGTTATATTCCGTACAATTTTTCACGATTTTATATATACCATCATTATATACCATCATTGTAATTATATAAAGACAATGAATAAAAAAAGTTATGTCACAATATATGATTTTCTTCTTTTGCGCCATCGAAAATCAGTGCGATAGATACATGCAAACACCAAGCAATATAAAAGTTGTTCCTTTTAGGTATATTGAGTGTATGTGTATACATATATATATCCTTACATAAATTACATAACTTTTTATTAATGAAAGTAAATAATCATGAGCATTAATAACAAATCTTTTAGAAAATAAGTAAACAAAAAATACATTTAAGTCTATAATTTATTTTAATAACTGTGCAATATAAAGCTACGCATAAAATTTATAACATAGATTTAAATAAAGTTGTAGCTAAAAGGAACAATTGGTGAAATTTGATTTTGTGACTCACGTTTGTGCGGTCCCCTCGTTGTCCATCGACGTATCTTCTTCTGCAATCCTCGGTTTCTCTCGGAGATGGTCCGGCAATCTTGCGTTGTCTCACGTAGTCGTAGTACATTTTTCACTCGCGACGAGGAAAACGTGAGATACAATACACACACACACACACACACATATACGCGAAATTGAAAGTTTACTAAAGTTTGAAGTCTACAATTTTTCACACTTTAATCATTGCCGAATTTCTTAAAACTCGAATATGCATACATAAGTAACGTTTTTAAAAAAATAAAATTTAAAGCAAACGATGACGTAAAAGAAGATGATACTTTTGAATATACTCCATGAATTCTGCTCGCTAAAATCTTGTTTTCTTGACAATCACATGTATGTTATGTGAAAAATTGCAGATTATTATCTACACATCTCTTATCTCTATATCTCTCTTTTTATGTTAACAAATCGGCCGTTTTATTTCTCGAAAATAAATCAAATCGACTTCCATGGCAGCTATTCACACTTGTAAAAAGGCAAAACATATAGTAATTTTATAATATCTGATAGCAATAACAGCAAAATACATGATGATCGAAGAAGATGTACTTACTTGATTATATTTCACCCTGTTTTGTAATAGTGTTCAGCAGCCAAGAATTTTACAGCTCACTAAAAGTACTCTTACTTCTTTTACAGTCACAATCGTACAGCTGCATCATACGAAATTTGTTATACTTCCTCGCGCGTGTTTCGCGGAAGAGCGAACGGCCGCGGTACGTAACGACTGTACTGTAAACGTCGCCGATACTGTTGCCGGCGAGTGCGCGATGTTAATTACGTGTCAGTGAAAACATCTGATACTTTACATATTCGCGTGCGAGACGATAATAATCGCGAAAAATACGAATTAATTCAACAGAAGTGTTTCTCGCGTCGCGCGTCGGTCATTTTGTTTCTCGCGCGCGTTTTGTAGGAGTGCAAAAGGCCGCAAAAGAAATTGTATCGTATATATACTCGTCGATTACTAGCGCGATATTAATTACGTATTACGAACGCTCGACACTTTATGATACACGTGTACGACTGATATTCGCGCGCGAAACAATAAAAATCGCGATAAATACGGGAAACAAGTCAGACGTACAGTTCCGGCTCCGCGTCGCGCGTCCATCATAACTGCCTGATTCGAGTGTATCGAAACGTGCGGTAATCGAAATACTTCGATAATCGAAGTATCGAATCGATACGCGCGCGGCAGAGCGCGCACACATAGCATAGAACAGAACCAAATCAAAGACAGTATTTTTATCACTTGGTTGGTTTGTATATGCACAAATCGTGGCGCTAACATCGCGGCGGGAAATGTCCAGGAACAAGTAATATACAGTTCCTACAATCTATTGTATTTTTGTGGATTTATAGACTAGTGGCTAAAAAAATCGTAAAAAAGTACATACAGTAGGATGGCCGTTTTTTGGCTTCTTTCTGTTGAAACACAGCCAATATAAAGGCTCTTGTATACAGCAGACAAGAAACAATGCGGCTAGCCAATCAGTATTTTGCTTTTGGAAAAGTAGCCTATTGATTGGCTGGATCACGTTGCTTCTATCCACGCATAACCGTTGACGCGTTATGTGATTTGAGCTAGATTCCGAAATTCATTACTGGACATCTATAATATATGTCACGTTAACTATAGTACTGTTTTCAACACTGACAGTGAATAACGGAACGCAACCCTGTAAAAATTCTAACGCAAGCAGAGGACTTTTTGTCTCAGAGAGGTTATGCGGCAAATTTGTGTCGTGAGAGGAACTTTTGGAAATTTGATTAGTACTCTAACTTAAAGTCAAAATGGTTAGTAAATAATTAGTAGAATAGGATAATTGTAATTTAAAGTTTTCTCGAATCTTTTTTTGTGTCTACTTTAACTTTCTACACGTGTATAAACTTATTTTTCTAACCAAAACATTTTATTTTTCCAGACTATCGGCAAGAATAATAAAATGTTACAGCACATTAACTATAGAGTCAGAATCATTCTTTCTGATTCTAGAACATTTATAGGTACTTTCAAGGCCTTTGACAAGCACATGAATCTAATACTTGGTGACTGCGAAGAGTTTAGAAAGATAAAAGCAAAAAACACCAAGCAACCAGAAAGGGAGGAGAAGCGTGTGTTAGGATTTGTGCTTCTCAGAGGCCAGAATATAGTTTCCTTAACTGTTGAAGGACCACCACCTCCTGAGGAAGGATTGCCTAGGGTACCTGTTCCAGGATCAGTACCAGGTTCAAGTATGACTCGTGGTGTAGGCAGAGGCATGCCAGCAAATGTTGCAGGAGTGCCAGCTGGACTTCAAGGACCAGTCAGAGGTGTTGGAGGGCCATCTCAACAAATTATGACGCCTACTGGCAGAAACCAGGTTTCAGCACCACCTCAAATACATCCAGGTACTCCACCACGCATGCCGATCAGTGGTCCACCACCAGGTATGATGGGACCACCACCAATGATGGGTAAGACTTTTTGTTTACTGTATGATTTACTGTATTGTATTTGAATCATTAATTTTTTTTTACTAAAATTTTCTTATTTTATAGGTATGCCACCTGGAATGCCACATCTAGGTCGAGGTGGATCACCAATGGGACCACCTGGCATGAGAGGTCCTGCTCCAGGTTTGCTACGTGGTGGTCCACCTCCTCCTCGTCCATATTAATATGTTTCAGAATTTAATTAATATGTTTAAAAAATCTAACTAAACAATTCTTTTGTAATACAATAAGATACCCATTAATGAGAAAATACAATAAAGTTTTTGATTCAATAAACAATTTACTCACATATGAATATCTTTATTTCTTTTGTAATTTACTATCAGTGTCTGTACATGATCTTTATTTGTGTTATCTACATAGAGTATTTCAATTTAACGTATAAGCTTTTAATTAGTAGCTTATATCCTAGATTAGATTTATATACGAAAACACATGTGTAAAACTTGAGACACTTGATACATATGACATGTTCAATTAAAAACTTCAATATCTTGATCTTATATTTATTTGAAAAGATCGCAAAATTGCATAATTAGTTATTAACTGTTATTACAGTGACTAAGCAAAAGTAAGTTAACTATGTAAACATTCTGCGTTAAAGAACGATTGTTACAATTTTACAATCACAAAAAATTTGAGTAGCAGAGTATCGCGATATTGCTAACGAGAAGGCAGTGTTATTTCACATATGAAAAATATAGTCTTTTTCTTCATTCATTTACATACTTTGCGGAGAACATGTTCTGCCATATATGTGAGCAAGTTTTATTAAAAAAGTGCGGAAAACGCGACATATTTTATACTCATAAATAGGATTATTCATCTGTAACCACTAAACTTATACCATCGACTCAATTATTTGATGGCAGTAGGGTGGAAGAGCACTCGTGTATGTATGTATGTAAAGTCTTACTTCAATCCACCCCTTCCTTAAACAAGCTTACAATATACTTTAAGTAGATATACAATATTTACAGCGCTTTTTTCGACAATATCTGAGCAAGTGACGAAGTCACAGAGAAAAAAAATCAATTTTCTAATTCTACTTAACATTATAATATCACATTTACAAAACTTTATAGTCTTATTACAGGACACAAAAGTACAAAACGATCTTCGAATGTGCGTGCTGATTCGATTACGTTCAATCACCATTCTTTTTTATTATACAATATATGTATAAAGTGTACACCTGCTGCAATCACGTTTTTATTTATAATCTTTAAATATTGCTAATCGCGTTTGATGTCAAATAGCTGCCGGCATTTGACACAAGGAACACATTTGGATTAAAAAAAAGAAAATAAGATGTGTAATACAAAAGAATTTCTCTTCCTCTTTTTCCTCTTAATATATGCAATTATGTTACATAGAATAATACTAATATATTAAATAAAATTATTTGATATATATATATAT